TTTTTTTTTTTTTTTTTAATCTCTCCAAGAACTGTGGCTACATATTGGCTAGCAAGATGGTAGAGGAAAATAGAATAGTTTGTTCCTGTGTCCCCCCAAACCCTTCTGATTCCAAACAAAATCCCGAAGTAAGCACAGCCCTGGGCTCCTTCCCAGCCTCTGTCGTCTGGGCTTCGAGTCCCTGCTCGTGTGCCTCCCTGCCATCATCACTACCAGTCATCCTGGTCCCTCTGTCTTAGTGTCTTCATCTTCAGAGGAGACACATAAGTGAGAGTCCTCCCCTACTACAAACAAACGTGCAGACTAACTCCCCACCGCCCGCCCGCACCCCAACACCCCAGTAGGAGGGAGGTTCCCCGGAGGTTTCCCTGTAGGACGTGGAGCTGCAGGGAGACCCGAGCCTCTGGAAGGTGGAGGAGTGGATGAGGGCTCTGGAGTTGCTAGCGCTGGTGTCTTCGCTAATACTCCCATTTCTGGGGGTAAAATGGAGATTTAATTAGTAGCCAGCCTTTTACCTGACACAGACTATGACTTTAGGCCATACTTGTTCTTTATTTTTCACATATTTTCAGAACAAAGCCCACTTAACAGACAGGAGAACTAAGGCCAAAGGGTACACAGCAGGTGGTGGACCTAAGGTCTGGACTGGGAGGCTGACTTCCGGGTACATGGCCTGGAACACCACACTGTTAATAATGAAGCTAGCGTTTTGACTGACGTTTTAGTGCCCATGTTCTCAGTTTCTGGCCAAGTGCTGTAAACTCCCTCTCTTGGACTTCTGAGAGGTCAGGGGCTTTGTTGATAGGTGAAAGGGTCACACTGAGCCTCCACATCTCGGTTTCTTCTTTAAAGGTGAATAAAACACCTTCCTTTTACAATACTGTTTGGGTGACTTTAGAAAGCATTGTGAAAGTGCCTGGCACACAGACCGGCCTTTAGTAGGGAATCCATCCTTTTATCCCAAATTTATCGCAAATGCAGACTACATTCTCCTTGTGGTTTAGATTTTCCCCGTAGCCACTCTGGGAACTGTTACAAATAACACATACTTGAGGAGTGGTTGGGAGGATTCGATGAGATCATGTGGGCTATCTTTGCCTGGCATAGAGAACACAATAGCTTTTGTAATTCATAATGAAGACCTAATTGCAAAATTCAGTAGGCCTCAGATTTTTCCCTGTGGACCTTGGCTTGTATGCCCACTCCTGTCTCTGCTTTCTCACTTTTGTGAGCTGCCTCTACTAATGTTCCTAGAGCGGCAAACCTGTGGCACCCATGCAGAGACAGGTTGTTCGTATCACTGAAAGCTCTAAAAGGTTCGCCATCCCTGCTCTATGCCCTGGGAGAATGACAAATCCAGAAGCAGATTCTTCACTCCTGCTTACCTGGTTACCTCTGACCTTTTGGTAGATGGTGCTGGGTCTCCCCAAGCCCCAGTGCTCATTGTCAAAAGTTTGGCCTCGCTGGGTGTGGTGGTGCAGGCCTGTAATCCCAGCATTCAGGAGGTTGAGGCAGGAGGATCGCTGTGAGTTTGAGACCATCCTGGGCTACACCGTGAGTTCCAGGTCAGTCTCAACTACATAGTGAGACCCTGTCTCAAAAAAACAAAACAAAACAAAACAAAAAAAAAACCCTTCCAAAAAAGTTTGGCCTCTTCCCTTTGGGAGTATCCCTGAGACTTTCCTTGAATTAACGCCTGTGAATATTTCCATTGTATCACTGCCATTCTGTATTCAACATGCAATACTTCATTTTGTACCAAGTCATGTTGAGGGTACCAGAAACAAATGTCTTCACTGCCTACCTTCATTACCTCACCTCTTCCTGGTTGTTATGTACTTTCTTTTCTCTCATTGAGCATTAAGTATAAAATAATAGTTCCAGTCGCCCAGGGTTTTTGAAAGGATACTTGGTTAGTCCATGTCAAGAGATTTGCATAGTGCCTAGCATATAGCAAATGCTTAATAAAAATTAGCTGGGACCTAAGAGAATCGCCTGTCCATTTTTGTCTAAAGCAAATGCTGAGCCATGCCCATCTTTGTATTTTAGTGACCTACTCTTATATTTGGAAGATGCCCACTAACAAAGGTATGTTAAACATATAAGAAGAATAATTCATAGCAAGGACTTGCAACTGGAATAGAAGCCAGATATGGGATCTGGCACACTGGAGAGCACTTTTGGGAGTCAAATTGCCAACCTACAATGGCTCATTTGCAACTAACACACCCAGGAAGATGGAGCAGCAATGCCCTTTCTGGCAGTGTATCTAGCAGTGACAAATAAAAGAGCCCGTGCAGACCCTCTGAGCAAGTCTTGAGTAATTGAATAAAAAGCAAATTGGATTGGAAATCAACAGTTCCCAAGAGTCAGAACCCCTGGGGATGCCCTCTTGCACTCTTTCAAGACCGCAGCGCAGTGTTTCAATTGTCAAAGCCGAGTCTCAGGCCTCGATGAACTTAGTTATTTCAGAATGCCAGTGTCCTTAGGTGCCTTCCCACTCACAACAATAAATAAATCGTAGTATTCATAATTGTGGCTGAGCACTAGGTTTCTTTGATATGTGGAGAATCTCCACGTTTTCAAAAGAGAAATTTCAGAGCTAGAGATATTAGTGGCACAAGTACCTTGTTTCTGGTCTCTCTGTTGTGCCACATTAACTAATTAAAAGTTGCTTTAACTTTTTAAAGAAAAATTTCTATCACTACAGCCACCTCCTGCACCATATAACACATCTGTTTTTTTTCCTAATCGCAAAAAGTAAAAGACATTTCTGTGATTGAAAGCAACAGCAAACATAAGTTTGGAATTTTAGTGGATCCTGTTGAGTGGAGTTCTAATTTTGACTAAAAAATCCTGTTTGTGTATGTGTGCGCACATGTGTGTGTGTGCGTGTGTGTGTGTGTGTGTGTGTTTGTGTACTATGTGTGTCTTTATGAATATTCTTGAGAATTATAAATTTCAATTTCTAAAAAATTTCCATTAACAGTTTTAGATTCTCAGGTCCGGCTGTATTAGCCTTAATGGGTTCTGGTTCCATCTTTGCTTCATTTTCTCAATAAAAATTTGGTTAGCTTCATGAACTTGATACTTCTTTTAGTGCTATGAATGCAACACAGAAAACTTTCTCTGAAATTTCAATTTACTGAGGAGATAGAAATATCTTATTATTAAGTAGCCTAAGATTTTTTTTTTTTTTTTTTTTTTTTTTTTTTTGTGGTGGTCCTGGGAATTGAACTTAAGGCCGTTTCATTTTTAAAGTTTGAGACAGGGTCTCACTAAGGCACTAAATGGCCCAGATTGGGGTCAAACTTGTGATCCCCCTACCTCCGCCTCTCAGAGTGCTGGGATTACAGTTGTGCATAATTTAAGAAATGTTAGTGTAAACTGGCTTGGAGGTAAACACCTATAGTCTCAGCACTCTGGAATGCGGAAGCAGGAGGATTGAGAGTTTGAGCCCAGCCTGGGTAATTTATTGAGATCATATCTCAAAGTTTAAAAATGGGAGGGGGTACTGGGGATGGACTGGTAGTTCAGTGGGAAGGCCCTGGGTCCAAACTCAGCAGGGAGTTTGGAATGGAAGACATGAGACAAACTGAGATTTAAAAGTTAAGTCGGTGGTTTTCCAAGGGTGCTTCTCTTCTTCTTTCCTCAGTTAACCCACTTTGGCTATGGGTTTTTATTTCACTACCAGGAACACTAAATGGGGAAAAACCGAAAGCTTTTCCTTTAAAATCAAGAGCAAGACAACAGTACCCACCATCACCACTCTTGTTCAGAACAGTACTTGAAACATTAGCCAAGAACAATCAGACAAGAGAAATACGTATAGGAAAGAAAGAAGTCAACTTACAGATGACTTGATCATCTACATAGAAAACCCAGAAAATTCCATTGAAAGTCTTCTAGAATAAACAAATTAAAAAACATAGCAGTATACAAAATCAGCACCACAAAATTAGTAGCATTCCTATACAGCAATAATGAACTTTCTGAGGAAGAAATCTGGAAAGCAATAAAATTCACAATAGCATCAAGAAAAAATAAATACCTAATAATTTACTCCCCCCACAAAAAGAAAGACCTCACAAAGAAAACTATAAAACTCTGAAAAAGGAGATTGAAGAGGACATCAGAAGATGGAAAGATATCCCTGTTCCTGAATAGGTAAAACTAATATTGTCAAAATGGCTATTATTCCAAAACTGATATATAGATATAATTCAGTCGCAATCAAAATACCAATGGCATTCCTCACAGAAGTAGAGAAAAGGACCCTAAAATTCATATGAAACCAGAAGAGACCCAGAATAGCAAAAGCAGTCTTGGACAACAAGAGCAAACACTTTAGGTTATATCACAAGGCCACAGTAATTAAAAAATGGCATGGTTTTGACGCAAAAACAGACAAGTGAATCAGTGGAATAGAACAGAGGATACAGAAATAACCCCAGATACATTCAGCTATTTGATTTTTGACAAAGGGGCCAAGAGCATATTTTTTTTTTTTTTTTGAGACTCTCTCACTATGTAGTGAGACTGACCTGGAACTCACTATGTAGCATAGGCTGGTCTCGAACTCACAGCAATCCTCCTGCCTCAGCCTCCCAAGCCTGGACAAAAACTTATTATTTTTCTTTTTAATTGAGTTTATTGGTACATTTTAGGGATACATTACAGTTACATTCATTGTTAGGATCTTGTACCTTTACATGACAGGTCTTGGCTCTCATTTTTCCCCTTGTCCCTGCCCTCCCTTCACCCCTCCTCCTCTCCCCATTTACAACCACTTTATTTCCATCTTTTCATTTTCTCACATTTTTTCTTTTTCCTTATTACCCTTCCCCTACCCATCCCACCTTCCCTACACCTTTAGACCTTTTCTTCCCATTTCACAATGTCAGTTATCTCATTAGAATCTTATGTACTATTACAGTTTATTCACAAACTATTTGGTATTTACACATGTGTGACTTATTTATTTCACTTAGGAGTATATCCTCAATATGTGTCATTTTCCTATGAATGAATCTAATTTCTCATTCTTTATGGCTGAGTAATATTCCATTTTATAGAAAAACCACATCTTCTTTATCCATTTTCCAACTGATGGGCAAAGGCGCTGTTTCCAAGTTTTAGCTATTACAAACTGTGCTGCTATAAACATGGGCGCGCTTACATCACTGTGATATGATTCTTTTAGTTCTTTTGGAAAGATACCCAGCAGAGGCATGGCTGGGTCAAATGGAACCTCTAGTCCCAGCTCTTTGAGGTATCTCCATATTGATTTCCATAGTGGTTGCACCAGTCTGCACTCCCACCAACAATGGAGAAGGGTTCCTTTCTCCCCACAACCGCACCAGCATTTGTTATTGTGTGATTTCTTGATAGCAGCCATTCTTTGTGGGGTGAGGTGGAATCTCAGTGTTGTTTTCATCTGCATCTCTGAATGACCAGTGATGTGGAACAGTTTTTCATATATTTACTTGCTGCTTTTATTTCTTTGTCTGAGAAGTGTCTATTCATTTCAGATGCCCATTTTTTAATTGGGTCTTTATATTTGGGTGGGCTGATTATTCTGAATTCTTTATATGTTCTAGATAATAATCCTTTGTCTGAGGAGCAGCTGGTAAAATTTTTTTCCCACATTGTAGGTTGTCTCTTAGTTCTGTTGATGGTTTATTTTGCAGTGCAGAAGCTTTTTAATAAGATGAGATCCCACTTGTTGATTCTTTCTGCTAGTTCCCACGCTACTGAGGATTTGTTCATAAAATCTTTTCCTATGCCAATGTCTTCCAGAGTTCTGCCTAACTTATCTTCCAGTAAGTTTAGTGCTTCTGTTTTAATATTTAGATCTTTAATCCACTTGGATTTTAATTTAGTACATGGTGAAAGAAAAGGGTCCAATTTTAATCTTTGGCAGGTTGAAATCCAGTTTTTCCAACACCATTTATTGAAGAGGCTGTCTTTCCTCCACTGAGGATGGTCAGATCCTTTAACAAAGATGAGGTAGCTGAGTACATCTGGAATTGTTTTTGTGTCTTCCAATCTGTTCCACTGATCCTCAGGTCTGTTTCTTTGCCAGTACCATGCTGTTTTAAATCACAGTGGCTTTGTAGTATAGTTTCAAATTGGGAATTGTTATACCCGCTGCCATGTGTCTGTTGCCTAGGATGGCTTTTGCTATTCTAGGTTTCTTCTGGCTCCAAATGAATTTTTGGATTCTTTTTTCTAGTTCTGTGAAATATAGTGTTGGAATATCAATTGGCATTGCATCGAATCTGTATAGCAGTTTTGGTAGTATGGCCATTTTCACTATGTTGAT